GTTCCCACAGTTGGCATATATAAGAAACTGTCATGTAACAACCATGGTTCATGTACACGACAATTGTTCCCACAGTTGGCATATATAAGAAACTGTCATGTAATAACCATGGTTCATGTACATGACAATTGTTCTCACAGTTGGTATATATAAGAAACTGTCAAACTATACTGTCGCATGTGTGAAACCAAGGAGTTATGGATTGACCTCTGTGCATGTGTCCATCTGTATCCAGCTGTATTTTGCACATGCCTGGACTGTTTCAAACTTCACAGATACATCAGACACTATATCTGACATGCATGCGTTTCATGATTCAATACAAAAAGACCAAATGGCAGCTATTTTAAGGTAAAAAATGTATCCAAATGACATTTTTTCACCATTTCAGAACCAAATCTCAGTCGTACCCAAATGACATTTTTTCACCATTTCAGAACCAAATCTCAGTCGTATCCAAATGACATTTTTTCACCATTTCAGAACCAAATATCAGTCGTGTGTGGATGGATTTGGTTTAAACTTGGTCATACATTAAACATAATGGAACCTTGATGCACACGTCTTTTTGGATCAAGCTCAAAATGAACGACTGGTGTCAGTACGGTTTTAAAGAATGCAGTTCCTGATCCATAAATTCGACTTGCCCTGACCAATCAAGTTCAAACTTCACAGATGCGTCAGACATCATATTGGACAATTTGCATTTTTGTCATCATCAAATTCAATGAATATAGTTACACTGAGCCTTATCTCATACATGCCTGGACAACTTCACACATTCATCACAAATTAGGTCATATATATACCAGTATATTTTGCATCTTGAATACAAACTGTCATTGACAATGACTTTTAATGTACCATATTTTATGTTACAATAATGGTTCTTTTACATTTACAGGGTATGAAGTTGTTTGAATATCTGTATGCATATCAAAGAGTAAGCAAACCATCAACGTATGAAGCCACATTTAGATACAAAACTGAAGAAGACCAGGTTAGTGCATTTACTTTATATCCCATAAATAAAATGTTTTTAAATTGGACCCCTTTAGCTATTGACACTGATGTGTCATCACTTGTATAAATGACAATTGGTTGTTTTTGGTATTGATATTTTTTGCTCAAAATCGCGTTTGGTTTTGGATGCTTACATTGGCTTGGAACTGGCCTATATATGTAGAAAACATTCTAGTGACTAATGGCATGGATCATATTTATGGAAATGAAATACCCCAAAATCCAAAATGGATAAGAAGTTTTATCAAAATCAGTAAAGAAAATGAAATAAACATGTTTACACAAAATTTAGAGAAGATGAAATCATTACACTCCTTTCACCCCTTAATTACACGAAGAACTGCAATCAGATGTTGATAAGTCGTTACAATTGGTCAGGCAGTTTGTTTTGAAAGTTACTTTCAAAATATTGGCAACAACGAGGTAATTATCAAAGACGTGATTGACAGGTCAACAACAACAAAATTAAAATGTAGCAAGGCTTGTTCATTTCGATAGACACCATGGAGACGCTACTAAAATTTAAAACTTCCGTTAGTTGAGTTTCATGACAGTATCGAGGCAACTATTATAGGTCGTTGCAATAGATAAGCAAGGTGTGGAAAAACCCGCTGTAATAAGAGAGAGGGTAGTTCAGCTTTATTTGGGAGCAATGTCTTATTCAATATTTAAGAAACTGTTTTAATACAAGACAGCAGCACCTACATAAACTAAGCCAGTAACACATTCCTTGTATACAAATTTTTATCTTTTTTTAATGCTTTTTTGTTCCCTTACTTTTTATGTAGTTATTTTTCTTTTACTAATATCTGTTTTGTAACCCTTTTCATCCCCTCCGGGGGATGTTGTGTGTTAATAAATAAATAAAATTCCGAGATCGGTCAACAGAGCGGTGTTTCGAAAAAAACAGCTCACAATATTGTGAAGCGATACATTGCAACTGGTAGCATTCTTCCTGGGAAACGTGGTGCTTGTCAAGTCATCCACAATACATGTAGCCTGGACAAGCTGCATATACTAACACTGCTTTTTACAATTTCCTGCTTCCTTGTGTCCTCTATGGTGGCAATGTGCACACGTTGCTTCGACAACGTTTAATCCCGATAAAGCTAACGGGGTAGCAGCGGGGGTGGCGACTTTAAGTCAGTCAATTCGCGTTCAACCGAGATCTTTACTTGTGAAAGTGTGTTCAACTTGTCAGTTAATTCATTCTCCCGATCCTGTAACGATGGGGTTTGTACTGTCAGGAATTTTTGCGGGTGTTACCCTGTTGGAATTGTCGGTGACAAAGTCAAGTCTACGCTTTCGCGACATCGAAGTGTCTTTGTCGGTGTCTACGTATGCTACGTCTCAGAGGACTTCATCGCTGGGGATTTCCCGTCCACCACGTGTATTTGTAATTTCAGTGTCCCACTTTTTGAGCGCACTATGTTGTCAGTGAGTAGAAGTTTAAACCGGTCATTCCGTGGTAAATCCACCTTTTGGGTTTCATCATCGAGTACTTGAATGTGTGTTGCTCCCATCGAACCGAGGTATTTAATTTCTCTGGTGATTAGCCCAACAAAATCTTCGAAAGACATCTGCTGTAACAGAGTTTCAGTGATGTAAATCGGGGTGATTCGTACACTACCATAGTACATATAATGTACTTTGATTAACATCTCCGGCTTGCGAATTTCCATCATCTTGAATTTGTCTGGCACAACTGGCAACCTACCTTCCGCATGTGTGGGAATAACTGGGAATATTTGTTCTGTTATGCAAATTAGCAATAATGCTAAAGATATTCGGCCAATCACTTTATTTGTACCAAGCCGCCATGGTGTCTATCGAAATGAACAACTTTTGCTACATTTTATTTTTGCTACCGTTGACCTGTCAATCACGCCTTTGATAATTACCGGGTTGTTGCCAACATTTCGAACAGATGAAGTAAATTTCAAAACAAACTGCCTGACCAATTGTAACGACTTATCAACATCTGACTGCAGTTCTTCGTGTAATCAAGGGGTGAAAGGGGTGTAAAACACTACTGTTGGATTAAAAGAAACATTAAAAAAGAAAATTACATAATGGTTCCTTATGATCATCATGGTATCTCCCTTGTCTTTAAAACTAGGTCAAACTCTTTAGATCTTGAAGGTAACAAAATGGGATGGAATAATTACAGGGGTAATGGAATTTGTGGAGTCTGCAATCAGGGCAAAGAAGACATTTACCACTTTTTATTTAGCATTAGAAACCTCACTGAGAAACAATGTTGAATCGTCATCACTAATGAATAGTGTTCTTTCAGGGGGGTTGAATTATAGGTTCAATTTCCTTTTTGGTGATACACTATGGAACATAAATGAAAATGTGGGAAATACCTCATCAGCTTTAATTAGGAAATATGTAACTGATTTATGGCAATATAGAAAAGAAAAGATGAATGTAATTTAATGATATGTATTACTGTTTTCATGCTGCCGATACAAAGGTTGAATAAACATTATTATTATTATTATGTCAATTTTTGGATTTTCATATTTCTTTATTGGTACCCTTTGTATAAGGAGTCCTCAACTTCCCAAAATTTGGTAGTGGTTCAATTAAAAAGTAGTCTTTCCATGTTTGTATGTCACTATGTAAAGATGTATTCTCATCCACTTTAATATTTATCAATGAATTAGTGGAGCTCAAAAGAAGTCTAAAACTATTACACCACCATTCATTTAGACACAACATCCATGATGAGCATTGTGTGGTTGTAACCTAAATATCTCTGCAAATGAATAATAACTATAAACCAATCAATCAATTGATAGATAAAAAGTGAAAAACATAAAGAATTATATAAAATCTTATTTTCATCAGATTGATATATAACCCTCAAACAGACAAATTACAAACATATGAACTTTTGACCACAGCAAATCACTTTGCCACTGTAGGCAGACGTGTACTTCACTACACGATTTGAAACCCATTTTGTTATTGTCTCAAGACATCACCATCTGAAAGCCTCCACAGAGAGTTAAAATGAATGTAAAAAAAAAGTGTCAGCAAGCGATGTATTGAAATTACTATTTTCTTTTCAGCTACTGCATGGCAGTCATCCGCTACCGGAGTTATCCAAGACTAGATTGCCCTATCACCCACTCATACATGGAAAACCATGGAAAATTATATGTAAGTCACTTTAACATTTGTATATGAATAGTGGTGTTCTCACTGGACGAAATAAGCCGTTGTCACAACGCCTTTTATTTGAGAACATTGTTAAAATGTGTGTGTGAACAGAATACGCTGTTGTGGTGTCGGCATTGTCACACCGTCGTAAAAGGCGTGGACCAGATCTTAAACGGCGTTGTCACACCGGCTCTTGCAAAACGCAATGTGCCGTGTGAACAGAATACGGGGCCAAACGCCCTCTATCACGACTTATTTATGTTAGTCATTACACAAGATGGCGCCAGAGGTTACAGGTCGAATGTCGAACTGGTCAGACGAGAAAAGAGATTACTGATATCTGTATGTCGAGAATCGAATATTCAAAGAATGATGAATGGAACGTCTAGGGATGCTAGAGTCGGTTGTGTAGAGTATATGCTGTGATTGCAGAAAAAGCCGCTGAAAAGGGGTTGTCCAGGACGTCGTTACAATGTCAACGGAAGATCAAAACGTTACGTATAAAGTTCAGATAAGCGACTGAGCACAACAACAGAAGCAGTTGAGATTCGAAAACTATGCCATTTTGGGATGAACTACAAAAAATATTAGGTGGAAGGCCAGCATTCAATCCTCAAACAACGGTGTTTTTACTAAGTGAGAACGTGAGCAGACAATTCAGCTGATTATCTAATTATTGCACAACAAAAAAACAGTGTCAACACCAGCTTTTTTTTAGACATGTGAGAACATAGCTATAGAATTACTAAAGTCACAAATACTGTATTGGCTCAACAGATTTTAGATAAAGAATTTTATTTTAATAAAATGATATTAAATCTATTGTAATTTGTTTGAACAGCCCCTGAGTTGAATGCAAATACAGTGTCTAGTCTACTACCTATAGCTGAAGTGTTAAAGGTGAGTTACAAATATAGAATAGTGTTTTCTAAAACTCATTAAATATGTGCATATCTAATTAGGGCATATCAAGTAAGGCGAATTTGTGACATTAGTATTTATGTGCATATATAATTTAAAATGAACATTTGTGACCTGTTTTACAGTTATTTTACAGCTTCTTTAAAGGTGGACTTCCTATTCTGCATTGCAAATTATTTCTCTAATAAAGAGTGGATTTATCATATGCATATCTAATTGACATGATTTGACTTTTGCGTTAATCCTGCTATGCTGAAATACTGTAATTTCTACATTGAGAAATCATGTGGATACTGTATAAAAAGCAAATATTGATATGTAATCATCATTTACAGTTGCAAGGGGATAATATGTACATTGTAGCTGTTCAGAATATTGTTAATGAAGTTAAAAAACAGTGGCAGCTTCAAGAAAGTTTGGAAACAGGTTCAACAAATGTATCATGGAATACAAGCAGGAGAATGAATGTCAAGACATTAGAAAGTTTTAACAACCTGTTGATGAAAATAAGCGATAGAAAAATGGCTGTAGCAACCTGTAGATGGATAGCCCAGGAGATTCCAAGAGGTAACTGTCATTGATCTATTTTATTAAGTGCCTTCATTTTGGCATAAATGCATTACACTCTAGAATAGAAACATTCAGAATATTTTATAGTCCAATGAAGCTTGCAGTCAAGTTATGGCCATACCAAAATTGTTGATTGATTCAGTAATACTCAAATAGATTGATCATTGTTATATGTGAAATATAAAATTTGGGTATAAACTGACAACATTTTTGAGAAAATCCTGATTACAGAGTTACACCGTAATACACAGGACCTTGTGGGAGGAATGTAAAACACCATTTTTTCTCTTATGAAAAATCATTTTTTGAAACTCAATATAATGAAACAATGTGTCAGGAACTACATTTTAAAATGATGATTTTTGTGTTTACAGTTGTGAACTGGTTTAAAGTATTTTGAATTAAATGCCATATAGAATGATTGTTTCCATTATTTGATTGACAGGTCCTGATCAGGTTTTGATGTTAAAGTTGTGTTGTGTCTTAGCTCACTCATGGAAAGAAATATCCCAGAATGATGTAAGTCAGTTTCAACAGGTTATATGGGTAGGAGTGACTCGAGATTTCTTTCCCATTTATGCAATATATTGTGCTGGATAGGTTCAGTCTTACTGATATCCTGTTTTTTTCTAGAAGTTGGATCATAACTTGTATATCTTATTTTATCTTCAACAGTAAGTTGTTGACAAGGAGTTTTGATGGATTTATCAAATTAATGCATGCAAATACAGTTTGCACATTATCACACTCAAATTTCTATTTAGTGCTAAATGTAATGATCACTCTTTGCTTTCACCTCCAGCCTGCCACCTTAGATATGGCAACTACAACTTTAGCCAAGTTTACTGAACTACACAAGACACTGTCTACAGAGCAAGTTCTGCGTAAATACCATCTAACTGATGTGACATATTTACGGTTGACAAATCAACCAGCAAGGTTGATCTTCACTTTATATGAGCATAAAAGTATTGAGAAGTCATTTGCTGGAAGCTTAGAAAGTTTGCCAGGTTTGTCACACTGTTTTGTTCTTGTATCTTCTCCCTAATCTAGTTATCAGTGGGCAGATGTCTGTTGTTGTCGTCTGTATAATTTTTTCCATGATCTCTTTGTTTGTCACTCACCTGTATGTTTTCTTATTCTAAGAAATTTTATTTATGAGTCAAACAATCCACATGCTGTTGCAAAACATGGATTTTCTATAATCTAAAGAAAAATTGAAATTGCACTACTTGGCTGATTATAGTTGGCCAACAGTTTTAATGAGTCGGGCAACTAAACGTGAAAAATAAAACATGTTTCATTCCCACCCATAACTGTTGGTCAAAATAAGATCAGTCGACAGTTGTGACTACTTGACAGATTATAATAGCCAGTCTACAGTATGTTGTGTAATTTCACTTTAACTTGTGCCATGGTTCAATGTGATGCAACTTTCACTGTTTCTTCAATGTTGTAGATATTCACTCGGCAGCAGATGAAATCTCAGCTGTGAATGCGTATAATATTAGTAAGATTAGAATGACATTACTTGAGAATTGGCTTCCATCTCAACATTATAAGAAAGACCATATGGATGAGGTAAGCTCCCAAAACACCTTTAAATGTACACTATTTACTCATATTATTAGTATAAAACTGTCACTGATTTACTATTTGTAACAGGTCAGTTAATGTAGGCATATTTACCTTTATCGGTAAATGAGGAATTAGGTGTATGTGAGTCATCAACTTGTACCTAATTTGTGTCATTGATCAAGTACTACAGTTTTGAATATTTTGTATTTTCTATTCAGGCAATGCTAGTTTAACACAATCTGATTAGAGATTAAAATGATTAAATATTTAACTCTAGTTGGTCTGTGTTAATTTAAACTCATCTCATTTTCATGAGATGACTGACTTCTCTTTCTCTTATGTCAACCCCTTGTTACAGATCAAGATCATTGATATGGATTTTTCTATTGAGCATTAAATAAACACTTTTTGCATATTCCCTTATAGACTGCTGGTTTTAATTGGAAGTCCAATGAAATTAGCGATGATGAAAGAAATTTGAGAAGGTATATTTTGAAATTTTCTATTTCAGGCATCAGCGGTTGTTTGTATTTGTAGAAATTTGGTTTTAGTATAAGCATTTGTCAGTTAGAAAGCGTTGACAGTTGTAATGACACTTGTGTTTTATGAGGTGCTCACCCAAAGTGCATAATAAACATATAAACTGACAAACTGGAGAAAAAAACCTTCCTGTAAATCTTTTAAAACATGACAGTTTTATCTCAATATATATGTAGTTATTTGCATGCTTACACATGGGGGTCAACAATGTCCATATGAATAAACGTGCGGTCGTTTATGATGTCTATGAATACATGTGTGGTCATTATGATGTCTATGAATACATGTGTGGTTGTTTATGTCTATGAATACTTGTGTGGTCGTTTATGATGTTTATGAATACATGTGTGATTGTTTATGATGTCTATGAATACATGTGTGGTTGTTTATGATGTCTATGAATACATGTGTGGTTGTTTGTGTCTATGAATACATGTGTGGTCATTATGATGTCTATGAATACATGTGTGGTTGTTTGTGATGTCCATGAATACATGTGTGGTTGTTTATGATGTATATGAATACATGTGTGGTCATTATGATGTCTATGAATACATGTGTGGTCATTTGTGATGTCTATGAATACATGTGTGGTTGTTTATGTCTATGAATACTTGTGTGGTCGTTTATGATGTATATGAATACATGTGTGGTTGTTTATGATGTCTATGAATACATGTGTGGTTGTTTATGATGTCTATGAATACATG